AAAAAAAAAAAAAAAATCATACATTTTATTAATTTTTATCAAAATCTATTAAAAAAAAAATGAGTTTTAACAAAACCAAATAGGGTACTCATGAACGTCTTCGAGAGTGTAACATTTCTAGTATCGAGAGAGAAAAAGTCAAAAGATGTGTTAACCTCTTAACATTAAAAATTGAACATGAGCTCAATCGAGACCAACTGCGATTAAGTTTTTGGTAAAATGTTCAATGCAACCTAATTTAGACCACTTAATTAAGATCAAATTGAACTGGAAGAAGTAGACCACAACTTAGCAGAGCCGTGCTAAAGCTTCAAATATCTGAGATCCATTTCTTGTCCTTTTGATCAATTTTAATTCATTTTATTAGCAATTATACATTTAATTGAAAAGGAAAAAATGTGTCTAACGTCGGATACAACAGTAAAATATTGTTCCGGCAATCAACCAAAGATATCGTGACGGAGCAGGATTTTGCCAATGGGAGCTTAATTCTACTATGAAAAATTTTCAAACACAAAATATAATCATATTAAAAAAAATAACATATTTAACGGAAATTCATTCTATTTTAGAATTGGTCATTCCAATTTTTTTTTTTTTTTTGAGATGTTAAACATAATCAAGGGGCAAAAATGTCAAATAACATCGTTCCCTTCTTAAAAGTATTTGGGCTTTCGCCGCCATCCCATGTCCCGACTTACATATCTACCCTCAAATTGATCTTCCTTTTCTTAAAAATGGATTATGACGTTCTCATTTTCAAGTTAAAAATCCACCTCGAAGCGTAGTGTCAGTGGTTGAACCATACTTCCACCACACAAGGTGTCCCAACAAGCTTAACAAAAGAGGAGAACATTCTTTATTTATAGGGGTAGAAGGCTCGGGTTTTGTGGTAAAAATCTTTTTACCCTCCTCTCAATCGTCAAATTTGCTTTATATTGATGATAAACCAACGGCCTATTTGGCAATGTTTTTGAAAAGTCGAAAAGTTTCTTCTAAAATTAAAAAGCTACTTCTGAATATGTTTGAATAATTTTCTAGAAATACTTGATCTGATTAGAAGAGTTTTCAGAAAAAAAACTAGCTTAATGTAATTTTTCCAAGAAATAAAAGCAGGTATAAAAAACATGCCAAACAGACCATAAACTACCAAGGGCATGATGATAATATGAGTAAGCCCAAATAGATTTTATAACCAGTCGTTAATATCAGTAAATCATATCCAACATTCGTGCTTTCTTCTCTTCCACAGTTTTTTCTTCTTTAATGTTGTCCATGATTTCTCATCCTCTCTACCACGGGCGTGATTGATATGTCATATGGATAATATTTAGTAGATCCCAAATATGCATTGAACAAATTATAAGAATAAACAGCACTCAATATCAAATTGATTGACCTGAAGATAAAAAGCCAATATGTCTAAAATCAACACCATGTTATAATATCACCAAAAAAAAAATGGGAAAAAGGAAAATCACACAAGATTCGGAAACTAAAAGCGCTAGCAACTGCAACTATTGGAGTTGCTTTGCTGGGAACCACTTCAACTTAAAACTTAATAATGCCAAGGGAATTAAAAAAGAAGAAAAATTCTAGCTAAATAGCACGCACATCTATATCATAGAATAAAAACTCGCAGATGCCACATACCAATATACATTTGCACGAGTACGAGGAGGAACTGAATCAGGGGACAAACCCGATATCCTTGAAGTACTCATGCTCGAGAGCACTTCTGGCTGTGATTCTGTTGCTGGGATCCACGCAGAGCATTTTCTGAAATAGTAACTCGAGTGAATCAGCAACATGAACATCAATTTTTCTTTCTTCGTTTCATTTTATAACAAAAGTAATCCTAGATAGATATAGTGTATGTTTGGTAAAGCTTTTAGTAGATTATAAGTTGGGAGTCTGTCACCAGCTTATAAGCTAGAAAAAGCACTACTAAACATACTCTAAATAGTATGACCAAGTAGATAATATAAACGTCTCATTCAGTTTCCAGAAATGGAGATAACAAACCTAGTAACCTTCAAAACTCTACACAGTTTAGTTAATGCTAATAAACCTTAAGTTAGCCCACAATCAATGTTCTAAATGGCACGCCCTTGGTGGCGCAAACGCCACACCTAGGACCTATGTGCTAATTTTGCGGTCAACGGAAGCATTGACTGCTTTAAGGCATGCCTATACTTGCATAGGCATGCCTTGGCACACATTATTACTACTTTTTAAAAAATAATAATAATTTTACACTACATAAATTTTTCAACTTTTAGGCCAATAGATTGAAAGGCCCAAAAAGTTGCTTGCTTACTTATTGATCCAATAATTTATAGAGGGCTTCTCCAAGGATTTAGTAAACTTTCGATGTTGAATAAAAATCCCTTCAGTTTGGCTGTAGTACATTGTACCTTTGGTTTGGCTGTAATATATTCTATCTTTAGTTTGAATACAGTGTATTGTACCTTTGGTTTGGTTGTAGTTTATTATACTATTGTATATATAGTTATCTATGTTTTATTAAGTTAATTAATTATTTTCCTATCTTTTACTAATTATCAAAAATTAAAAAACTCACCAAACATTTCAATTAGCACTATTATAATATATCTTGTTTAATGTTCAAAAATATATTTATTTTGTTAAACTCTTAAAACTGCATTTGGTACTATAATTTGTATGTATTGTTAAATGCTTTTAAATTAATTAAAAATTTAAAATAATATTAAAATAAGAAAACACTTTTTTATGCCTGAGCCTCGTCCTGACGTGCATCAACCGAAACTTGGCCTCCACGCATAGCCACGCATTATGCTTTTTAGATCACTGCTCACAGCCCCAAGAGACCTTAAAACTGAAAAAGAACTTGGAGGTGAGTCTGATTCCGTGGGCTAATTGAATGGCTATAATACATTATTTTATGCAGGAATATATAAAAATGCAAACTAAGTATTATTTTCATCAAGTTTGGGGCATTCTACATTTTATTATGTTCACTTTATTGCTCCATTTACTAGAGGATCAAATGTAACTAGGTCTTCACAAAACACACTGTTAATTACGGTTTACCACTTTGAACTTGTTGTATTCAAAAGACAAGCACGAAGAAGCAATGACTTTCTTTTACTGGGCCAATCACCTTCATTCGATGCGTACATATAGTTTTTGCTAGAGTGGGCAGCGATGTCCTTCCCAATCACATCACTATTATACGTTATTGTTTTTAAATGCCACATTGTGTGTGTTCAAGTATCATATTAGAACTATTAACATCCTGACAACTTTCTTTGTAAGATTCTGTCTACATTTTAAATAGTGTTTAAGTAAGAATTATGAAATAAATTGTCAAGCTACTGAGTTTTGTCAAAGCATAGATGCTTGCAGAATCTACAATATGCTCTAACAAATCATAACATTTGAAAAGAAGGCTTTATTGATAAACCCAGGTTTACAAAACATGTGCATTATATTTGTAGGAAATCAAGAGTCATATTGTAATTGATTTTTCTTTGTACCATATTTAGTTCTTACCTTAGTTAGTTATACTAATTAGGAATCTGTTCTCATCTCCTAATTTAGGAGATTTCTTTCCTTCTTTCCTTACTCGCATTTGTATTATAAATAAAGTTGTATATTATTCATTTAATATATGAGAAAATAATATCTTCTACATGGTATCAGAGCAGGGTTGTTCTAAGCCTAACAACCGATGATGGAAGATCCCTTCAATAGTTCCATGACCTCTGAATTTTCCAACAGTGATGCAGAAATAAACTCTACCTTGGGTTCTACGAGAGTCGAAAATACCTCCTTTCAGCTTGCAGTGGAAAAACTGAATGGAAAAAATTATAGAAAGTAGGCTCAATCGATTAAGTTGGTAATTGAAGGCAAAGGTAAGCTTGGTTACCTGACCGGAGAAACAAAGAAGCCTACAAATGCCGTACAATTTCAGAAGTGCAAAATAGAGAACTCGTTGGTTATAGCTTGCCCTATGTTGCTCGGTTCGGGTGCGGGTGTCGAATACGGGTACATATCTAGGAGTCGGATTCTTCTTATTTTAAAAATTAAAATATGGGGATACAGTTAAAAAAGATCCGAATTTTGGATACGGGTACGGGAATACGTCTTACAATTTTTATTTTTTTTAATGACAAAATAATTATGTTTACTCAATTTGTCATGTTTTAATCACTATATAAAAAGTTGACATGAATAAAAATAAGAAAACAAAAAACTAAGTACACCAAGGAACTCAAATATATATATTGAACAACCATTTTGAATAGATCAATTTAAATTTTCGTTTCTCGTACACAAATTAATTGACATTGGTTGTCAAAAAATGAACTCATAGTTTAGTTTGTTTATCAACTCTTTCGACAAAATCAATTTAAACAATTGGGTTATACTTTGAAATCTTAAATTTAAAGACAAAATAATTTTTTTTCAAACAAATTAAAGGACACAATCAATTTCAATGTTTTATAGATTATTTAAAAACAATTATAGAAATAAATTTAAATTTAATATAAAAAATAAAAGACTAAATCATTTTAATTACAAAATAAAAAGTTCACACAAATAAAATATAAGAAAAAATTAGTACAAAAATAAACTTATCCCAATGTAATAATTAAAATTTTCTTAAATTTCTACATTGGGTTTTACAAGAGCATACCAAAAGCCCATTTTACATTGGGTTTTACAATAGCATTCCAAAAGTCCACTTCAACCAATTAATTAGGTCACCCGTTGTCTTCCCCATCTATTCTCTTCTTTCTTCCCCAATTTCTCTGCTTTATTTTCGCTGTAAAGCCATAAGCAACAATCTACATAGACGCAAAGCTGATTGCAAGACTCCACTTTTCGTGGTCTTCTTCTTCCTTTTGTTGCCGTGTCCGAGTGCAAAACCGAGGATTCGATCCATATTCCTTGTCAGTATTCGTGTCATGTTGTGTCAACACGGATACTTCTCCATTTTTGGAGAGTCCGAGCATCATAGAGCTTGGTTGTTGAACGCCATGCAACCAGCCATAGGAAAAACATATCTTTTTCTCCCAATAGCGAAGGATGTTTGAGAAGTCGTCAAGGTCATCTACTCAGACCCTGAAAACTCGTCCCAAATATTTGAAATTAAAACCAGACTGTGGCAAACCAAACAAGGAGGCAAAGAGGTTACGGAGTATTACTTGGAGATGACGTCCCTATGACAAGAACTCGATCTTAGTTGTAAAGAAGGAGTGGGAATGCCCGGAGATAGCATAAAGTTTGAGAAAAAACTCGGGAATGGACGAGTCTAGAAGTTTCTTGTTGGCCTTGATCGAGAACTGGATGATGTTAGATGCTAACTATTGGGACAATGACCACTACCTTCAAATAGGGAAGTGTTCGTCGAGGTGAGAAGAGAGGAGAATCGTCGAAAAGTTATGATGACGGAGGGAACGACCGGAGAAATTAATATCGCGCTTCTGTCAAAGGGAGTTGGACGTTGAAGAGGAAAAGGAACAGAGCCTTATTCATTTCCTGGAAGTGGGCTTTCAACTTTTGGCCCAAACACAAGGAATAGTGGGCTGTTAAAAGGTGATACCGGATCTGGACCTTCAAAAATTGGACTTGCCGGGTCCTCAAAATATGGGCTCCTTGAAATTGAACCAGAAATTACAACATTATCCTCAAAATTTGGAAATGGGTCAAGTCAATAGCAACAAAAAGGACGTCTCTGGTGTGAGCATTGTCGGAAGCCAGAACACGGGGAGGACACACGTTGAGATATGCATGGAAAGCCCAGCAATTGGAAACCAAGACAGAACATTAAAAATCGTAGCTATCAGGTGCTGGCAGACCAAACTGAAAAATCCAAGGTGAAAAATGGAGCATTCAATTATGAGCAACTAGAGCAACTCTATCAAATATTTTCAAGCCTCCAAATTACCCACACATGGTCCTTCAAGTTTGCCCATAAAGGTAGTTTCCTAAAAGCTTTAAATATTTACTCAAGATATAAAATTCCTTAGATCATTGGCTCAGATGCCTCTAATCACATAACGGATGCCTACCATCTGTTCAATACATACTCACTCTATGCTAGTAATATTAAAGTGAAAATTGCCAACGGATCACTTTCATCTGTTGCGGAAAAAGGGAGTATTCAAATTTTCGAGTCTATAACCCTAAAATCTGTCCTTCATGTCCCAAATTTATCATGCAATTTATTATCTGTCAGTCAATTAACACAAGACTCAAATTGCTCTGCTAATTTTACTCAATCTTACTTTTTATTTCAGGATCTATTATCGAGAAAGATGATTGACAGTGCTAAAAAGTATGAGGGAGTCTACTACTTCGAAGAAGCCAATATGAGTAAACAACATCAAACTGAAATTTGTAATTCTAAGTTTGTCTCTAGGGATAATAATATTCTATTATGGCATTATAGAATTGGCCACCCAAACTTACAATATTTACGACATATTTTTCCTTCTATTTTCTCGAATAAAACATCTATCGACTTTCAATGTGAAATATGTGAGCTTGCAAAATAGCACCGTACTACTTTCCCAAAATTCATATACAAACCATCAAACCATTCACCATAATTCATAGTGATCTGTGGGGTCCATCACGCATTCCTAACCGTACTCACACAAAATGGTTGGTCACGTTCATAGACGATCACACTCAAGTATGTCGGACTTACCTACTAAGAGAAAAAACTGATGTGCGTTCCACATTCATTAATTTTCGCCAAATGATTCAAACACAATTCCAAACACAAATTCAAGTCTACACACTGATAATAGTACCGAATACTTCAATGCCACTCTACGAGATCATCTACAAGAACTTAAAATCATCCACCAGAGTTCATGCATCGACACTCCCTAACAAAATGGAATTACCGAGTGAAAAAATACATACTTGAGGTTGCCAGAACCTTAATGTTCACCTCAAATATGCCAAAAAATTTTTGGGAAGATGCTATCTTAACTTCAACTTATCTTATCAACCGCATGCCAAATCACACTCTGTCCTTCAATTCACCTATTCAAAAGCTTCAAGATTTATTTCTAGATTCTCGTCTAAACCCAAACATATCCCTCAAGGCATTTGATTGTACTGCCTTAGCTCACGTCCACTCCCATAATCGTAGCAAACTTGATCCTCGCGCCATTAAATGTTTCTTCATCAGATACTCACCTACTCAAAAACGCTACAAATGCTATGATCATCAACAAAGAAAACATTTGTTAGCCTTGACGTCACATTTTTTGAAAATACGCCTTACTTCAAAAACACCTTTGTCAGGGAGAGAATTCTGATGAAGATAGGTTTTTTAACGATAAGTTTTTTGAGCTTGACATCTTCTCTGAAATGGAAATCTCATTCCCAAAGTCTAATATGCCATATATAGAGGAGCAATTGAACTCAGGGGGAGACATAGGATAGCAAAATGACAAAGAGATGTTAGTATACTCAAGAAAGCCAAAACCAAAGTACAAGGAGAATCTCACACTTGGAACAGTAAGAGAATCCGAACTGATGATGGCTCCAAAATCCCATGAGTCAGAATCTCCGGATATCAATCTACTTATTGCACTAAAAAAAAAACCTTGGTTATGCACTCTTCACCCAATTTCAAAATTCATATCTTATAACAATCTATCTATAGGTTTTCGTGCTTTTACATCTAATCTTGACAGGGCTGAAATTCCAAAGTGTATACAAGAGGCTTTGACAATTCCCAAATGGAAGGACACAGTAATGGAAGAAATGCGAACATTGGAAAAAAAATAAGACTTGGGAGGTAGTGGATCTACTAAGATAAAAGAAGCCCGATGGATGCAAATGGGTCTTCAATGTGAAGTATAAAGCTGATAGAACAATAGAACGACAAAAAGCTCATCTTGTTGCAAAAGGATACTCGCAAACCTATAGTATTAACTACACAGAGACATTTGCACAAGTAACAGCCAACTGGACATTAAAAATGCATTCCTTAATGGGGAACTGGAAGAAGTCTTTATGACCTTACCACCAAGATTTTGTAAAAAGGAAGAGGAGAATATGATTTGCAAACTTAAAAAATCACTGTATGGCCTCAAACAATCACCTAGGGCATGGTTCGATAGATTTGCAAGAGTGTTAAATGATCAAGGTTATCAACAAGAACAATCAGATCATACCATATTCTTCCAACGGTCAGAAAATGGAAAAAAGACCATCTTGATCGTATATATAGACGATATAATCCTAATTGGAAACAATATATATGAGATGGAGAGACTTAAGAGAAGCCGGACAACCGAATTTGAAGTGAAAAGTCTTAGATACATGCGGTACTTCTTAGGGATGGAAGTTGCAAGATCAAAAAGGAGTATCAGTGTTTCATAAAGAAAGTATATTCATGATCTTCTAACAGAAGCAGGCATACTTGGATGTAAACTAAATGACACACCTATTGATTTGGCAAGGAAAAACGAAATTATTGGAGATCCAGTTCAGATAGACAGATATTAAAGACTCGTCAGAAAATTGATCTACCTGTCTCACACGAGACCTAACATCACTTTTGCGGTAAGTACGGTAAGCCAACATATGCATTCTCCAAAAGAAAGTCATATGGAACCAATAAACAGAATTCTCAAATATTTTAAAAAGAACACTTGGAAACTGATTATTCTTCAAGAAGAACAAAAACATAAAAGTTGAAGTCTTCACAGATCTAGATTGGGCAGGTTCAACAGATGATAAAAGATCAACTACTGTTTATTATACTTTTGTATAGGAAAATTTAGTGACATGGAGGAATAAAAAGAAAAATATAGTGACAAGAAGCAGTATAGAAGCTGAGTTTAGAGTAGTGGCACAAGGGATATGCGAAGGATTGTGGTTGAAAAAAACTCTTGAAAGAATTAAAAATCACAGTAAACCTCTCAATTAAGCTCTATTGTGATAACAAAGCAGCCATAAACATTTCTCTTAATCCTGTTCAACATAATTGAATTAAACATATAGAAGTGGATTGGCATTTTATCAAAGAAAAGGGTGAACTAAAAATTATTAGTATGACCTATGTTCCTACGAGACAGCAAACTGCAGACATTTTCACCAAAGGACTACCTCGGCAAAGTTTTATTGATTTCATCAGCAAGTTGGAAATGGTCAATATTTACCATCCAATTTGAGAGGGAGTGTAGGAAATCAAGAGTAATATTGTAATTGATTTTTCTTTGTACCATATTTAGTTCTTACTTTAGTTAGTTATACTAATTAGGAATTTTTTCTCATCTCCTAATTTAGGAGATTTATTTCCTTCTTTCCTTACTCACATTTGTATTATAAATAAGGCTGTATATTATTCATTCAATATATGAGAAAATAATCTCTTCTACAATAATTTACCCTATTATGCAAAAAGAACTTACTCCAAGGAGATCAAGACCAGCTGCATCAAGATTTGGAACCACAGTTGCCAAGTCCTGCAAATTAGAGCATTCACTAATTAAGATTTTTTTAATTTCTATCCAAGATATTTCACAGGAGGAATAAAAATTTCAAAGAGTAATCATACAACTCCAATTACCTTAGGAGGCCATTTTGGAAATGCAGATTTAAAATCCGGCAAAGATGTCACTCCAGGCCATGTATCTTCATTCGGAGTTCCCATGATACTTCATTACAAATGGCCAAAAATAAAACATGAAAAAAATATATAAAAAAATAATAAAGAATTTCACATGAGATTGTTATATAATTATGGTTGCTTAAATCTTTATGGGGAATTGTATAGGGAATAGGACGTTAAAGGGGGGGGAAAAAGAGGTTATTTAACTTGTATCAGTGTATGTCATTGAAATGAGATATACAGACGATGTACGATCATCTTAATGCAGCCAAGAAGATAATTACAAGCATTCACATGCACAAATTGTGCTAAACTCCACCAAGTTTCTTAATTTATGGTGATGACATGATAAGCTGTCGAGTAGCTACAACTGATGTTAAAATAATAGAAAAACCCATATTAAGGGAGCCATTCCTGAAAAGATGAAGTACCCGAAAATCTTAAAGAGTTCATCAATCTCAGAGTCACCAGGAAACAATGGTCGCTGGTTCACCATCTCGGCAAATATACAACCAACTGACCACACATCAACGGGGGTAGAATAGTGGCGGGATCCAAGAAGAATCTCTGGTGCCCTGTACCATAGAGTGACAACCTGCAGAGAAATATTTATCCACAGCTGAGGAAAATTAAAACAATGTATAGGTCAAGCAACCTGTACTGTACTGTCACACCTGTGAAGAAATATCCACACGGCTTAGGAAGAGAAGAATTGATAGGTCAAGTAAAAAATTCTTCTTATGCATTGGTGTTAGGATAAAAACACAAGAAACAAAGTAGAGGTACTTTTTTACTTAATTGCTTCAGCTTTACAACTAAAAGGGACAATTTAGAATGCTTAAACTTTTAGGAAAAGGTATCAAATTGACAACATAACATTTACCTCATGTGTAAATGTCCTGACAGGAATACCAAATGCTCTAGCCAATCCAAAGTCTGCAAGCTTTAATGCATTGGTTCGGCGGTCTATCAGCAAGTTTTGCGGTTTCAAGTCTCTATGAAGGACTCTGTGAGAATGGCAATAAGCAATACCACGTAGTATTTGATAGAGAAACATCTGCAAAATAAAGGTAACTTGATAATACAATTGACTAGCAAACAGAAATCTAGATAAGAAACAGAAACCTATCAGCTCTCTTCAACAACAAACTTAATTCAAAGCATTCTCATGTTAGCCGACCTCCAGTGGGCACAAAGAAGACACTCACTTTAACTAGACGAGGATCTTTGGAGAATTCTGGGCAAGAATCCATGTGCTTCTTCAAGTCCAAGTCCAGATATTCAAATACCAAATACAAGCGCTTCTCACTGTGCACCACATCTTGCAGCCTATATTGAGAGAGATTTTAATGCATGCAGTACATGAATAAGGAATAATCTGTTAACAAAATTAACAAAAAAGGACAATGATGATCATAATAATAATAATAATAATAATAACAAAACCAATATAAGCCAGGAATATCATATCAATTGTCTAAAATCCAGTTAATAGCATCGATTGAGAACATGATCAATCGGCAATGGTATATTCGTGTGTGTTGGACAACCTGCCCTTGACACATTTCCTTCATCATTGTATCTCTAGTCTCTTGATATGTGTAAGCAACCATGTTAATTGTGGCTTACTAATGTACCTTACAATGTTGCCATGCTGCATCTCTTTCAAGAGAGATATCTCTCTGATCGCTGTGCTCGGCACTCCCTCATCTTCATGCTCCAGACGGATTTTCTTCAGAGCAATAGTTTCATTTGTCACGCGATCACGGGCCTTGTACACAACTCCATAAGTTCCCTCGCCAATCTTCTCAACTTTTTCATACTGTGACCAACATCAAAAGACATCGCAATCCATTACAAGCATAGATAAATGAGAACAAACAACAAGCATAAATAAATGAGAACAAACAAGAGAGCTAAGAAGACACGGTTTACCTGCTCCATCTCGTTGACAGTAAATGCGTTCAGCTATCAGCAGTGCAAAAATATAGAATAGAAAACAATGGTCAGGACATTGGAAGTAAGAAATGGAAATATGTGTGCTTATCTGACATGAATGATATCGGTAAACAATGAACTTAATATTAAGCATGTTACGCCTTTTAGTTTTGAGCATTGCACTTGGACAAAGGATATTATAAAGTTTTTGTTTCAGATAATTAACAGTTAAAACATACGACATCCAAAAATGAAAACCAAGGAGAATGTAATATGCTTAAATAAGAAATCGTTTTTATGACACTTGTTTATGTCCTAGTCCTTCTGGATTTATATACATAAAAAGTCATGAATTGATAATAGATCCATACGTTAATAATAAAAGAATATTTTTAATAACTGAAAATTGCAACAAATTCCACTGACTTTGATAATCCAAATAACAGAAACAGTATACAGTATTCCCTTCAATTACCAGGAAAATAACCAATATATATATATTCCATTAAATTGCCAGGAACCTAAAATCAAAAGCCGGTCAGTACATCCCTCGACTCAAATAAATCTAAAGCAAACTGCTATAATGGCAAAAAAAATAAATAAAAAAATCAAACTGATGTTCTTCAATGCACTGGCTCCAGAGTGAAATCCACATCAAACCATCAGATTAGAGATAAAATAACAGAAGATCGACCTATATTTTACTATAATTCACTTCACAAAGCAAAAAAATTGAAAAATAAAAACTATTAAATTAGTGACTGAAAAATCAGAAAAAACAGCATTTTTCAACCATCAAAAAGTTTCCCATTAATTAACAAGATAAAAAGTGCATTATAGTGAACATCAACAAAATCAATCCAAAACTCAGCAATTGCCTTCACATTAATTAATTATAGTTAAACGAACAAGTAATAATTAAGCAAACAATAAAATTTAAAGGTGCTTACTATAGTATAAATCAAGAATGCGTGAACATGAAATAAGTTATGAACGGATATTACTCTGTATGAGTTATGCAAATGAAGCAAGAAACTAGAGAGGCGATTGTGATGGTACATACCGGAGATCGATGAAATGTTGAGTGAGAGACTATTAGAGAGAGAAAGGGCTATGTGTTTTGATTAAAGCAGTTGAGAAAGGGCTATGAGTTGTGGGCTGGCTAACTCACTGATTGGGTAAAGGCTTTGACCAGGGTTGATATAGCAAGTGGGGTCACACTCTCAAATTTTTTTTTTTTTTTTTAAATGATGAAAAAATAGATCGATGCCTCGGATAATCCTTGAACGAGTTCCATTCTGAGACATTGATGTAGAAGATGATACTTGATTGATCGTTTACCTTAAAGCAATTAAGTATGACTTAATAGGCTTATAGTCTTAAAAATAGATATGGTGGATCCCATACTAATATTATTGGGAAAATTGTAGTAGAAGCCTCAAACCTTTAAAACATTAGCAGACTTTTTCTAAATCTTTCATTTGTTGTAACCATCACCCCTAACATTTTCAAACGTTGCATCCGAGGCCCTTTTAGATGATTTCCGTAAAAAATTCCGTTAGTTGACCATCAAACTAAACTTTGACCACCTTTTAATCAATTCTAGAAGGACAAAATGGTAATTTTTTATTTATCACATTAAACAATTAAAAAACTAAAATAAAAAACCAAAAAAAAAAAAAATTGGTCTTCTTCAAACCACCCCACGCCACAATCTAAAACCAGATTGAGTGCACGTTACACCTACTAGAAGAAATGACAATAGCTATTACTATGCCTTTTACTCTTCCTTGCGAACTTAAACTCTCAAAACACTTTCACACCCACAGAACACCATAGATAAGACTAAAATTAAACCATAATCTCAAAAAGCAGGCATTTTCTGTATTGTCCACTTCGTTTTCTTTGCCAAATGTACAAATTTCGAGAAAACCAAGAATTATCACTGGCGCTTATGCTTCAGCCTGGCTTTCAATGCAAGTTCATCGGAAAATCAGTCGAACATCAACGATTTGGTTGGTGTTGAGAGTGAAAAATTGCAACCAATTGATGTGATAAATTGGGGATTAATGTGGAAGCGGATTTCATGGAATAAGTTGAGACTCATTGCTAGGATTCTTAGTCTTCTTCGTTGCACAGCTAGTACCCTCTCCATGCCCATATATTCCAGTATGTTAGACTGGGGGTTGGGGTGGGGTGGGGAAGAAGATACATTTCTTTTTCATTTTTTCTATGGTTTTTGGTTTTTTATTTTAGTTTTTTAATTGTTTAATGTGATAAATAAAAAATTACCATTTTGTCCTTCTAGAATTGATTAAAAGGTGGTCAAAGTTTAGTTTGATGGTCAACTAACGGAATTTTTTACGGAAATCATCTAAAAGGGCCTCGGATGCAACGTTTGAAAATGTTAGGGGTGATGGTTACAACAAATGAAAGATTTAGAAAAAGTCTGCTAATGTTTTAAAGGTTTGAGGCTTCTACTACAATTTTCCCAATAATATTAGTATGGGATCCACCATATCTATTTTTAAGACTATAAGCCTATTAAGTCATACTTAATTGCTTTAAGGTAAACGATCAATCAAGTATCATCTTCTACATCAATGTCTCAGAATGGAACTCGTTCAAGGATTATCCGAGGCATCGATCTATTTTTTCATCATTTAAAAAAAAAAATAAAATTTGAGAGTGTGACCCCACTTGCTATATCAACCCTGGTCAAAGCCTTTACCCAATCAGTGAGTTAGCCAGCCCACAACTCATAGCCCTTTCTCAACTGCTTTAATCAAAACACATAGCCCTTTCTCTCTCTAATAGTCTCTCACTCAACATTTCATCGATCTCCGGTATGTACCATCACAATCGCCTCTCTAGTTTCTTGCTTCATTTGCATAACTCATACAGAGTAATATCCGTTCATAACTTATTTCATGTTCACGCATTCTTGATTTATACTATAGTAAGCACCTTTAAATTTTATTGTTTGCTTAATTATTACTTGTTCGTTTAACTATAATTAATTAATGTGAAGGCAATTGCTGAGTTTTGGATTGATTTTGTTGATGTTCACTATAATGCACTTTTTATCTTGTTAATTAATGGGAAACTTTTTGATGGTTGAAAAATGCTGTTTTTTCTGATTTTTCAGTCACTAATTTAATAGTTTTTATTTTTCAATTTTTTTGCTTTGTGAAGTGAATTATAGTAAAATATAGGTCGATCTTCTGTTATTTTATCTCTAATCTGATGGTTTGATGTGGATTTCACTCTGGAGCCAGTGCATTGAAGAACATCAGTTTGATTTTTTTATTTTTATTTTTTTTGCCATTATAGCAGTTTGCTTTAGATTTATTTGAGTCGAGGGATGTACTGACCGGCTTTTGATTTTAGGTTCCTGGCAATTTAATGGAATATATATATATTGGTTATTTTCCTGGTAATTGAAGGGAATACTGTATACTGTTTCTGTTATTTGGATTATCAAAGTCAGTGGAATTTGTTGCAATTTTCAGTTATTAAAAATATTCTTTTATTATTAACGTATGGATCTATTATCAATTCATGACTTTTTATGTATATAAATCCAGAAGGACTAGGACATAAACAAGTGTCATAAAAACGATTTCTTATTTAAGCATATTACATTCTCCTTGGTTTTCATTTTTGGATGTCGTATGTTTTAACTGTTAATTATCTGAAACAAAAACTTTATAATATCCTTTGTCCAAGTGCAATGCTCAAAACTAAAAGGCGTAACATGCTTAATATTAAGTTCATTGTTTACCGATATCATTCATGTCAGATAAGCACACATATTTCCATTTCTTACTTCCAATGTCCTGACCATTGTTTTCTATTCTATATTTTTGCACTGCTGATAGCTGAACGCATTTACTGTCAACGAGATGGAGCAGGTAAACCGTGTCTTCTTAGCTCTCTTGTTTGTTCTCATTTATTTATGCTTGTTGTTTGTTCTCATTTATCTATGCTTGTAATGGATTGCGATGTCTTTTGATGTTGGTCACAGTATGAAAAAGTTGAGAAGATTGGCGAGGGAACTTATGGAGTTGTGTACAAGGCCCGTGATCGCGTGACAAATGAAACTATTGCTCTGAAGAAAATCCGTCTGGAGCATGAAGATGAGGGAGTGCCGAGCACAGCGATCAGAGAGATATCTCTCTTGAAAGAGATGCAGCATGGCAACATTGTAAGGTACATTAGTAAGCCACAATTAACATGGTTGCTTACACATATCAAGAGACTAGAGATACAATGATGAAGGAAATGTGTCAAGGGCAGGTTGTCCAACACACACGAATATACCATTGCCGATTGATCATGTTCTCAATCGATGCTATTAACTGGATTTTAGACAATTGATATGATATTCCTGGCTTATATTGGTTTTGTTATTATTATTATTATTATTATTATGATCATCATTGTCCTTTTTTGTTAATTTTGTTAACAGATTATTCCTTATTCATGTACCGCATGCATTAAAATCTCTCTCAATATAGGCTGCAAGATGTGGTGCACAGTGAGAAGCGCTTGTATTTGGTATTTGAATATCTGGACTTGGACTTGAAGAAGCACATGGATTCTTGCCCAGAATTCTCGAAGGATCCTCGTCTAGTTAAAGTGAGTATCTTCTTTGCGCCCACTGGAGGTTGTCTAACGTGAGGATGCTTTGAAATTTTGAATTAAGTTTGTCATTGAAGAGGGTTGATGGATTTCTATTTACTGAAGATTTCATCTAGATTTCTGTTTGCAAGTCAATGTTATTATTAAGTCAAACCTCTATTTTGCAGATGTTTCTATATCAAATACTACGTGGTATTGCTTATTGCCATTCTCACAGAGTCCTTCATAGAGACTTGAAACCGCAAAACTTGCTGATAGACCGCCGAACCAATGCATTAAAGCTTGCAGACTTTGGATTGGCTAGAGCATTTGGTATTCCTGTCAGGACATTTACACATGAGGTAAATGTTATGTTGTCAATTTGATACCTTTTCCTAAAAGTTTAAGCATTCTAAATTGTCCCTTTTAGTTGTAAAGCTGAAGCAATTAAGTAAAAAAGTACCTCTACTTTGTTTCTTGTGTTTTTATCCTAACACCAATGCATAAGAAGAATTTTTTACTTGACCTATCAATTCTTCTCTTCCTAAGCCGTGTGGATATTTCTTCACAGGTGTGACAGTACAGTACAGGTTGCTTGACCTATACATTGTTTTAATTTTCCTCAGCTGTGGATAAATATTTCTCTGCAGGTTGTCACTCTATGGTACAGGGCACCAGAGATTCTTCTTGGATCCCGCCACTATTCTACTCCCGTTGATGTGTGGTCAGTTGGTTGTATATTTGCCGAGATGGTGAACCAGCGACCATTGTTTCCTGGTGACTCTGAGATTGATGAACTCTTTAAGATTTTCGGGTACTTCATCTTTTCAGGAATGGCTCCCTTAATATGGGTTTTTCTATTATTTTAACATCAGTTGTAGCTACTCGACAGCTTATCATGTCATCACCATAAATTAAGAAACTTGGTGGAGTTTAGCACAATTTGTGCATGTGAATGCTTGTAATTATCTTCTTGGCTGCATTAAGATGATCGTACATCGTCTGTATATCTCATTTCAATGACATACACTGATACAAGTTAAATAACCTCTTTTTCCCCCCCCTTTAACGTCCTATTCCCTATACAATTCCCCATAAAGATTTAAGCAACCATAATTATATAACAATCTCATGTGAAATTCTTTATTATTTTTTTATATATTTTTTTCATGTTTTATTTTTGGCCATTTGTAATGAAGTATCATGGGAACTCCGAATGAAGATACATGGCCTGGAGTGACATCTTTGCCGGATTTTAAATCTGCATTTCCAAAATGGCCTCCTAAGGTAATTGGAGTTGTATGATTACTCTTTGAAATTTTTATTCCTCCTGTGAAATATCTTGGATAGAAATTAAAAAAATCTTAATTAGTGAATGCTCTAATTTGCAGGACTTGGCAACTGTGGTTCCAAATCTTGATGCAGCTGGTCTTGATCTCCTTGGAGTAAGTTCTTTTTGCATAATAGGGTAAATTATTGTAGAAGAGATTATTTTCTCATATATTGAATGAATAATATACAGCCTTATTTATAATACAAATGTGAGTAAGGAAAGAAGGAAATAAATCTCCTAAATTAGGAGATGAGAAAAAATTCCTAATTAGTATAACTAACTAAAGTAAGAACTAAATATGGTACAAAGAAAAATCAATTACAATATTACTCTTGATTTCCTACACTCCCTCTCAAATTGGATGGTAAATATTGACCATTTCCAACTTGCTGATGAAATCAATAAAACTTTGCCGAGGTAGTCCTTTGGTGAAAATGTCTGCAGTTTGCTGTCTCGTAGGAACATAGGTCATACTAATAATTTTTAGTTCACCCTTTTCTTTGATAAAATGCCAATCCACTTCTATATGTTTAATTCAATTATGTTGAACAGGATTAAGAGAAATGTTTATGGCTGCTTTGTTATCACAATAGAGCTTAATTGAGAGGTTTACTGTGATTTTTAATTCTTTCAAGAGTTTTTTTCAACCACAATCCTTCGCATATCCCTTGTGCCACTACTCTAAACTCAGCTTCTATACTGCTTCTTGTCACTATATTTTTCTTTTTATTCCTCCATGTCACTAAATTTTCCTATACAAAAGTATAATAAACAGTAGTTGATCTTTTATCATCTGTTGAACCTGCCCAATCTAGATCTGTGAAGACTTCAACTTTTATGTTTTTGTTCTTCTTGAAGAATAATCAGTTTCCAAGTGTTCTTTTTAAAATATTTGAGAATTCTGTTTATTGGTTCCATATGACTTTCTTTTGGAGAATGCATATGTTGGCTTACCGTACTTACCGCAAAAGTGATGTTAGGTCTCGTGTGAGACAGGTAGATCAATTTTCTGACGAGTCTTTAATATCTGTAATGTGTATTCAATTTTTCATATATTATTTTTTGTACCAGTAGAATTGAAACTCGAATTTATTGAAACTAGAAATTTGTTGCCTTAGTCGACATAAAAGTATATTTTTCCTCCTTTTTAGGAACTTGTTAAACTGGAAACCATGTCCTCATGTTCATCGGAATGAGATTTTTAAATCAAAATCCCATTTTGGGCGCTCAACCTATTTTACGCATTATTTCTGCTACAAGAGGATTTTCGAGTAGAAATTAAAAATAAATACATTATTTGTTTTGGAAAATTTTTTTCCTCCCATCTTCAACCTCGAGTACTATAAAACAGGTGATCTAACAGATTTGCTATTGGTTGAAATTATTCATTCGTGGGTGTAACTTGTATGCTATTAAAGTCCGATATGTTAATTGTACAGAATGTTTATAATTGCTATCTCAAATGTTCAAATATGAATAATAATTTGAGATTCGCATCGCATAGAGATAATTTGTGCATGAGATGACATAAGCAATCCAAATATCAGTCTAGCATATAATTGACAAAATGAAATCAGTGCGGGTGAGTTAATAGACAATTTGACCACATTTTTTAACCTCAATCCATCAAAGCACTTAAATACAGATGGCAATGAAGGGTTTAAGTTGTCTTTTGCATGTTACAATGATGGCGTCCATCGTTTTATTTTATATTATCATTTTTGTGTTATTATCATGGCACCTTTTATTCGTGTACAGGCGATATTCTACTTTTTCGTAAACATAAGATTTCATTAACTATAAATGGTTCAATTGTCTATTCCAACAGATAATCTCTGTAATTCTTGACAACTTATTGTATAGTAGTAAATCAAACAAAACATTCAGATATAATGATTGATCGGAAACGTTTCTGTTGCGGAAGCTCTCTTGAAAGATCTTCAAATCGGTGATTTTCGAGCACAATTCAACGTACCTTTCTCAACCAACAACCAGTCCAATCGACTCCAAATACAACCAATTGATTCATCTGGGTTGCTATTCAATCTTACCCACGTAAGACAAGAAATGATGATGATTTATGGCCACAAAGGTTAGGAGAAGACACTACAAAGGTATACTATGAATGAACCATCAACTACACACGTTACACAAGCGTTCTGAACACTTCTGACACCTTTTTTCTCACACAAAAGGGGACAACCGGGATTCTCCTTTTTCTTCTCTCAAAATCATACAATCATCATTAGAAAGTGGCTAGAGTTATAGCCAAATATATACTTTAGGGTTAGACTTTAAGTTGAACCATTAAAGGGGTAAACAGGCCAAGATTCAAGTCATTCATAAGGAAATACAATTGGGCCGAATGTAGCTCATGGACTTGGTTGTTGGACTTATTTCATTCATCGGCCTATGCCTATGAAATAATATTAACTCACGTTAATCTCATAGCCCGAGATTTATTAGGTATCAAAAAACTCATCAAATCTCCACTTTGATACCCAATAAATCTGCAAGCAATTAAAACACACAGTTAGCACTTGCATAATCAAAGTAGCTAATAAAATTGGATCACAGACCTTACCTCGTGTTTCCAACTTGAAACACATAACATACCTGATTCATGTACTCACTAGGGCTAAGGTCAAAAAATACCCAAGTAGAAGCAAATAATTCACAGTAAACAATCAAGAGCAAATACACGTGCGATGACGATATAATATAGGATAACACACAGATCTTTTCAGAAACACGTTCATATAGAACCATAGATTAACACCAAGTCAATCAAACCACGGTTAACCACATATGCAACACATGCATAAATAACCCTAAGAAAAGATTTTACCATACTTATCCTATCATATTCCGTGTTGCTCATACCTCGAGAACATATCTCTCTTCTCATCGCCCACCAAGCTCACTAGACAAATCACTCAACTCATGTCTAACTGGCAAGTCACAATAGATCCTAAGTCCACGGGATAATTCTCTATCTCCACATCACTTCTTCCAACCTACGTGGATAATGGGTCTCCACCTAATAGAAGTGATAGAAGTGTTTCTTTCACACTCCACCTGATCAGGGTCTCTTTCCAAATAAAGGATTTTAGATATTTGATCACATCTCCACTCGTGATCCAAATGTCACACTCCACATCCCCGGTACAAACAACCATGTACCCCTAGGCATCTATACTCCACCTTACCAAAAGGCATACAACACACTGTTAATGTATCTCAAACTCACTATGACAAATCAACATCTTTCGTTGATCACAAAGGTTACCCCAATCACCAAAGCTCCAAAAAAAAAAAAAAAAAACCACAAAAAAAAAAAAAAAAAAAAAAAAAAAAAAAAAAAAAACA